GCAGCTGTTCAGAGTGCAGTGGGGAGCACAGAGGCAACCTGTTTCACTGCAAAGCCCACATCTGTCCTTGGAAAAATTCAAAGTCACAGGAAGCGTACTGGGGCCATATGTCAGCAAAGCAGAGTTCAGAATAGGCTGAGTTGTAGTTCTAGCACAGTTTTTGAGGCAGTTGAGCCTGGATCATTAAGAAACAAAAGTTTCCTTCTCTGAATTACCACTATGTGTCAGCAGCTGCTTGAGAACTTTGAGCAAACTTGGAAATATATTCCCCAGAAGCGTGTGTTTAACTCGCACAACTGTTGGGACTTAGTGTACTTCATTCATTTTTGCGTATGAGTTACCTGCTTTATATATTAAAGAATCAGGAATGTGTGTAGTGCTGCCTTTGTCACGCCTTTGTAACTGTGATCTGTACTGAAGGGACATTTCCTGTGTGAGTGATCCGGTATCTCAGGTATCGCTCCTGTGAGACCTGGCTCCTGGACAGTACATTGGCTTTAAAGCACTTCGTCAGTCCTTAATTTCTTTTGAGTTTTGGAGCACTGAGGTGAATTGACTGTTTGACTGTATTTAGCTAAGCAATAGCTTAATACGAGAAAGATGGCAGCTTTTTGATGTGATTTTTAACCAAGAAGACAGAATGATCCTTTTCTAATTATCTAGTTAAAGGAGCAATATAAATAAAATAGGGAAAGCTGAAATTGCTCATCTCGGTCCTTGGTTGAGATTAGTCTCACAGGACCATGGAACAGCTGAGGCTGGATGGGACTCCTTGAGACCATCCAATTCAACCCCCTGCTCAAAGCAGGGTCAACTGAAGCAGGTTGCCCAGGGCTGTGTCCAAATTGTGAACATCTACAAGGATGGAGAGTCCACAACCTCTCTGGGCAACCTACTCCAGTGTTTGGGTACCTGCACGGTAAAAAAGTCTTGTGTTCACGTGGGGTTTCATGTGCTTTAATTTGTGCTTGTTCCCTCCTGTTCTGTCACTGAGCGCTGCTGAGAAGAGCCTGGCTCTGTCTTCTGTAAGCTCTCACATCAGGTATTTATACACATAGATAAGATTCCCCTGAGCCTTCACTTCTGCAGGGTGAACAATCCCAACTCTCTCAGCCTCTCCTTGAATGACAGATACTCCAGTCCCTCAATCAACTTTACGACCCTTCATTGAACTCTCTCCAGTGTGTCCCTGTCTCTTGTACTGGAAAGCCCAGCGCTGGACCCAGCACTCCAGATTTGGCCTCACCAGCGCTGTGGAGGGGAAGGACCACCTCCCTTGACCTGCTGGCACCACTCTCCTTAATGCAGCCCAGGACACCGCTGGCATTCCCTGCTGTGAGTATGCATTGCTGGTATTCCTTTGATAGAGTCCTCCATTCTTGACAAAATTCCCAGGTATGTCAGGGCTGCAGTTACTCCCCTGGTTTTTCTTGGTTTTTTTTTTTTTTTCATAAACATGATTAGGGTTTAAAATATTCTTATATGTCACAAAACTACACTGTAGGCTTATAGTGTTCACAATAAAGACTCAGCTTAAGCTGTGAAATCAAAGTCAAAACCACAGATTGTTTGTGAGGTGGATTCTATTTATATTTTAACATGGTAAAATATTTACTGTTTCTTTACACATTTATTTTGGTTTAGAAAGCAAGAAAAAGATTCAGTTTGGAGAACACTGGAAATTTTTCTTTAGAATTTTTGAAAAAGCCCACCTTTTACAAATGTCAAAATGTACCTCCATCATCCATATAGCGTGTTGTTATTTCTTTTGCTGTGTCTCTCCTGATTCTGTGTAAGAATTATTTCATAACTGAGGAATTGATTCCAAATAATGACGATGGCATCTTTGAAAATATGTTGTCAATCATTTTGCATATAGTTTTTCTATGTTTTTTTTTAAAGGAATGCTAAACTGTGAAGCATTGTGACTTGTTGATGAACCTTTGCTTCCTCTCTGTGTTTTCTTTTAGTGTCTCTAACAGCTTACCTGCTAACAGAATGTCCTTTCCTGCTTAAATTTCTCCTATATATTCTTTGGTTTATGTTCCAAGCTGCATGGATGATATATCACATTTACTTGCTCTTCTTCACTTCATCTATGTAATTTGACCAGAGGTGCTAAGGAGTGCCATCTGTGGAAAAGGCACAGAAAAGCTGCATATCACTGCCATGCTGTGATTTGACTTTGTGAATGTCAGAGGTACCAAATGTGTGCCATATCCTGCCATGGAGTCACAGTTTTAAGTCAACTGGGGTAACCCTAAACTGTTGGAGCTGCTGAGTGCTGTGACTTACCCTCAACAATATTTGTAATTGTGTGTTTGGTTGTCTGCAGTCCTACACAGAGCCTTCCTAGTGATGAATTGTGCTGGATATCAACAATTCACCTTGCAGTTGTGTAAGGCCTGTGATACCTTCCAACATAATACAGTTATAGTCAGGATAGTCCCTGAGTGGTTGTTAATCATACAATAGTTTGGATTGCAACGGACCTTTAAAGGTTATCTAGTCCAACCTCTTTGCAATAAGCAGGGACATCTTCAACTAGATCAGGTTGCTCAGAGCTGCTGGCCATGCTGCTTTTGATGCAGCCCAGGATGCAGTTGGCCTTCTGGGATGCGAGTGTACATTGTCATCTCATGTCCAGCTTTTCTTCCATCAGTACCCCCAAGTCCTTTTCACCAGGGCTGCTCTCAATCAATTCATCCCTCAGCTGGTATTGATACTGGGAGCTGCCCCAACTCAGGTACAGGACCCTGCATTTGGCCTTGTTGAACCTCATGATGTTCACGTGGCCCCACTTCTTGAGCTTGTCCAAGTCCCTCTGGATGGCATCCCATTCCTCAGACGTGTCAACTGCACCACTCAGCTTGGTGTTGTCTACTAACTTGCTGAGGGTGCACTTGATCCCACTGTCTATGTCATTGATGAAGATATTAAACAGTACTGGTCCCAATACAGGCCTCTGAGGGACACCACTTGTCACTGATCTCCATCTGGATATTGAGCCATTGACCGCTACCCCCTGGATGCAACCATCCAACCAATTCTTCATCCACTGAACAGTCCACCCATCAAATCCATATTTCTTCCTTTCATAGAGAAGGATGTTGTGGGGGACTGTGTCAAAGGCCTTACAGAAGTCCAGGTAGACAACATCCATAGTTCTTCTCTTGTCCACTGATGTAGTCACTGCATCATAGCAGGCCACGAGATTGGTCAGGCAGAACTTTCCCTCGGTGAAGCCATGCTGGCTGTCTTGAATCACTTCCCTGTCTTCCATGTGCCTTAGCATAGCTTCTAGGAGGATCTGTTCCATGATCTTTGCAGGCACAGAGGTGAGGCTGATGGGTCAGTAGCTCCCAGGGTCCTACTTTCTACTCTTTAAAAATGGGTGCAATGTTTCCTTTTTTCCAGTTAATGCTTAGTTAAAATTAGCCAAAATGTTTTATATTCTGAGAAATTTATTTTTCTGCCCTTTGACATGTTTGGCTCTGGCCAGTATGTTCTGCTTGCATCCTGTGCTATTTTTAGTGATGATTATCCTTCCCCCCACTTCTGTTGCAAAACAGAATTGCATGTCTTTTTTACTAGTACGTGCTACTTTCGCACATGGGTTCAGTTTCACCAATGATCAAAACCAGATGGATCAGTTGTGTGTGAGGACTGGTTTAATCTGAGTGCTGCTGGGCTCCTTGGAGTGGGCTAGTGGATGTGTTCCTTTCTTTTTCTTATAAATGTAAATGAAAGTGTCATTTCGAGCTGGACCTTGCCTTTCTATTTCTCTGCACAGAGAAGAGGCAAAAAAAGGAGAACACTTAGTTTTGAGATGTCTGAATACGGTGATTTTCTTGGAAGAACCATTTTATCCATAAGGTGCATTTCACAGGCTGTTTTGAGTGCACGGGCTGGGGACCTGCCAGAACAGCGCTAATTCCAGGAGCACCGACGGGCAGCGGAAGTCTCTGTTCAGAGCTTCCAGCAATGGCAGGGAGATCAGCCAGGTTCTGTATTGACATAAGGTTTTTTCCCCATCTTTCTGTGGAGTGTGTCCCATATTAGCCAAGCTCTAAACAGCATTAATAAATGCCAAACACATTTTCTGCAGCTGCGTGAGGAAGCTACCCAGAGTGGCTATTTATCACTCTCAATCACTCTGACCCGATCAGACCCACGTTACCTGTACAGAAAATTGATTGGGAGGGGATAATTCTTTACAGCTTCTCATGAAAGAAACAGTTATCATTTATCACCAGACTTAGTCTTTATGGCTGTTTATGATTCTTCCGCTCATGACAGTAGGAACATGTGGGGCCCCAGGAAGTACCAGGATTCTCAGAATATTTTGAGAAATGCTACTGTAGTGAGTGTGAGAGCCTTACATGCAGGGAAGTTTATAGCAGGATTTGTATCAAGTCTTGGTCTTTAAAACTAATAGTAATTATAAACTTCAGCACCGAGTTCAGATCGGATCAGCAGTGACCTTGGATCCACACTAGCTTTCAGTGATGGAGCAGATCCAGGGCGGGTTTTGAGAAAGTTCACAAGAACATATCACAGCTAACATCATTTTAGAAACATGTGATGTGAACTTTTCCTTGCTACTGTTGCCGTTAAGGCAATGAATGGTTGGATGAAAGTGTGTTTCTATGAATCGCCTCACTGTTTTCATTGCATTTAGCATTCAGGCTGTATAAATTCTAATGCTCCACTGTCTGCTCTGGATTAAATTAGGATAGTTTTGACCGTTAAGGCAAACTTTACCTTAATTTGATTAAGTTTCTTTTGGTCTTTCTTTTTAGACTCCCTTGACTGTATCAGTTTCCTTAATAAAAGATATAATTTCTCTTGACAAACTTGTAGTTTTATTGACCTATGGTGGACTAAGGATATGACTAGCAACATTAAGTAAGGAGAATTACAAACCACTATTTTTAGGTAAGAAAAAAAGGAAGGCATCTTTGAATAACACCTTCTTTAATATTTTTTAGAACTTCATTCTAATACAAGTGCTCAAGGACATAATTGGCAATGTATTTAACAGCAAGCATAGTCTCTTCACAGGTTGGCTTTATCTGAGATTCAGGGAGAATGAAACCATATCTACCAGTGTCTCGGAGCTCAAAAGTGAAAGAGTACTTGATGCCTTGATCATAAGCCCAATCGTCAGAGCCCCCAGCAGCAGGATCTGTTGATAAAAAAATAAAATAAATCTTAACTGGGAAAGTGCAGCTACATGTTGAAATGTGATATACTTTAAAGAAGTCTTGTCACATAGCCAGAAATGCAGAAAGGACAGAGAAGAAAAATTAGCATTCGGTGAATTAACTGATTTTTCCTGCTCATGGAAAAACTTCTGTGATTTTAGGCCATTTGTGAGCTTCATTCCAGCTGATGCAAGCAAGCAAATGTAAATAAGCTAAAGTGGAAGAAGAATGAGAATCGCTAGAAAACTGCATTTGATAGTCTTAGTAGCACTTAATATGGATGGTGAGTATATTTAGGCCATTACTCACAGATTGTTGTAGCTCCTGGGCCATATGTATACTTGGTGTGGTACAAACTGGCCAGCTGTTTGGATGCTTCACGAGCAATGTAATTCTGTAGGAAAAGAAGAATGCTAAGTGCAGATTTTCTGAGTGAATCTCAGAAAATACATTGTTGAATACACTGAAAAGCTATGCTTGAGAAGTTTTGATTTTCAAACTGTTGTTCACATCTCAGAATGACTAGATGTCAGTAGCTGACAAGGCAGAGCTTGTCCTATTGTAGTGAAAAGAGCTTATCAGTAAAGAGCTTGTTCTCCAAGCTTTGATGAAGTATAGTCCAGTCTGGGTATTGCTCTATTGATGTACAGCCTGTTGTGTATAGTCCAGTATACTTTGGATAGGCAAGGGGACAATAGGTGACAGGATTTTTTTTTTACTTAGAAAAAACTTGTATAATATTAAAACTAAAGAAGAAATCTCATTTAGAGGTATGAGAATCTTAGAGAATAACAATAATTTGGTACAGTAAATTGTAAACATACAATAGCCTTTCTTCTATTTGTGCAGCTATAAATTTAGAGTAGAGTCAGTTTAGTCAGTGGAGTTGAACACTGATACAAGTGGAAGCAGATTAAGGTCTTATAAATATTAACAGCCAGAAAAAGGCATAAATTACCTTGGAACCATATGTAGTCTCATTAATTGCAATTCATTTCCTGTGCACAGAGGGACTCACTCAACTCCCACTGATTTCAGTGAGGGTTGGATCAGGCCCATCAATAGTACTATGAAGCTTTGTACGTTTGCATTAAGGAAAATTACAGACTTTTCTTTGGAACGTGTCCTTTTCGCGTTCTTCATTATACAGCATGTTGGTAATAAAACATGAAAACTATTACTAACAGATGATAAATACGAATGATTTTTGAAAGCAGATGTTCAGTATAAGAATAAGCAATGGGTTGCCATATCTTTATAGCTTTCAGCTGAATGGCTTAGTATTCCAGGAATTTCCTCCAGTCCCTTCTTCCTCTGTAGGTTATACTCTGGCTTACTTCCCAGTGGAAGATATATTGTAAAATCCTATTCTTCCTTATGTTTCAAGTATTCCTGTGAATTACTTGAAATGGCATCTTGGACAGCATGTTTAGAAAATCTTAGTTAAGTGAGAGAGCTTTCCCAGCTTCTACAAAACAGCACCAAAATATGTTTGCATTAACACTGGCAGCCTGCTTTATTGCAGAATTGCAAGTGTTTCCCCATTCCAAGATATTGGATTTTGAACATCCTAGTATTATGGGAGTTTGCTGTAGGAATTTGTGGTCATGTAGCACATTAAGAATATTTAAAGGCAGCAGAGCAAAGACTATTTGAAGCTTGTCCTTCCATCTATAACATTGGCTGTACTTGAACGTGGGATTTGGTTTCTGGCCTCTCTATTGTCCAAACACAAGCAGTTGTAGGAAGAATGTTGTTGCTTTGCATTTTACAATCTTGGATTCAGAGCAACTGGGGGAGCTGAGCTGAGTGTTGGGGTTTGGGGTTTTTTTTTATTTGTTTGTTTGTTTTGTTGGGGTTTTAAAATCCCTTAACAAGCTGATTTTTCTGAAATCCATAGCAATTCTTAACACACACTGAGGGAACTGTAGAGGTTAGAGACCATCTGCTAGTGATACTGTGTTTTCTTTAGTCATCTTTTGTTTATAATATATACATTTAACCAGCATCTGAGATTAAGCCAAATCTTCTCTCAATAGTAGATGAATTTTTAAATGTAACCTGATTTTTCCTCTTTTTAAATATATGCAAATTGGAAATTAAATATGTAAAGATAGTCTGACATTATGTATGGACCTATTGATCTCTGTCTCATAAATTGTTTGGTAGGGACAGTAGAACAGCGGAGCTGCTCTTTGGGAAGAATGGGGCATTCCTTTCATTCAACTGCCAGATGATGGCTTTAAATCATACCAGAACAGATACCAGAAAAAGTACGTCAGGAAATCTTTTTACCTGAGGGATTTTTTATTATTGGCCAGGAAGCTGTAAAAAGAGATTTGTAGAAAGAGCAGTGGAGATTTCCAGCTGTTAGGAGCCTGGAATCCAAATAAACAACTTCCTCAAGCTCTCCAGGCTGGAGATCAAGATGGTATTTTAAATGACCCTCTCTAAATGAAAAACATGGCTGTGCATTTATGATTTGATCACAAAATTAAACTTTATCAGAAGTTTTGGTATCTGATTTTTTTTTTTATTTTTAGGAACTCAAGTCACCTCTTAATAATAATATAACATAAACTAGCAAGAATAATGAAAATGAAATAAATATTTGTGACTATAAATGCAAAATAGGAGGAATTTTTGTTCTTTTCTTAAAAAAAGCACAATTACTCAAAGCCATCCATAAAAAGGAAATAACATGGAGATTTATATGGAGGTGTATATAAGTAATGCCTAGCGTTTTCCAAAGGGGAAAGTTATATTTAGCTGTGAAAGGTTGACTTTCAAGCCTGTCTGTTATTTGGAATACAGCTGCAAGGAGAAATATCACTATCTTCTTGACCTTTAAGGACACTCTTTGCTGTGCAGTGTTTTTCTAGATCTCTTTGTGTAACTGGCTTAACTGAATTGTTGTGGTTTGATTGTTTGTTCATTGTTTTTTTTGTTGGGGTTTTTTTTTACTGTTAAAAATCCCTCTCTTGCAAGGAAAATTTTGCTTAGAGTTATAGTAGCAGAGAAACAACTGGCGTCCTCAAGTCCTAGAAATAACTCCAAATTACACTCCTTGTAACTGGGAGCAGAAATAGCTTTTCAGCTTCTGACTTGCAGCTGAACTCACAGAGCTGGTGGTTTCAGCAGAAGGTAGCACGCCTTGCGCCGAGCACCCATCTGTGTTTACACAGCAATTACTAATATTTGCTTGATCTTGTGTAGAGTGCATGGGCCAGTGAGACAGCAAAGTTCTCTTCTCAGTAGCCATTATCTTACATAATTCATGACCTTTAAACCTATTTTTTCAGTTATTAGCCTTTAATGAAAGATATGTTACTGGCCTCTCTTTCTCACCACATCTGGAGTTTTGAACTAACAAGATAAATTATGAGGCCGAGCACCTTCTGTGTGTTAATAGGTAATTTTTTTGGGAGCATCTCCCTCATTTTACTCTTGTATCTTCCGGCTTCTGGAGTTTGCCAGCAAACTGCTGCTGCTTAACAACACTTCAGGGACGTTGATTATGCAGCTGCTGCATGTGGACAACTCCCTTCACCCTCATCCTGACAGTGATCTGGAGAAGCTTTTTCACTGATTGACTGGACCTCTTGCTGTCTTCCCTCACTGATTTGCCTGAGGCTGAAAACTGTATTTTGACTTTACCTCGGTCTCATGTGCTACTTAAGTGACCCTCAACTTCCTTTGTAATGAAAGTCTGAAAATGTGCCATTTGCAAAGTTAGCTTTTGCCAAATGAAGCTAAACTTCTGAGACCTCCTGTTTTGCCAATAAAAACAGCCTCCCCTCAGAAGAGTCCATGGCTGGTGTGTAATTCAGTTCACTATACTGTTGCTAATGGTTAAGCATGTCCCCCAAGAGTCCAGGGAATCCAGCCAAGTGGAAGACTTCAGTATGATGCTTTTTCTTTGCAAGCCTGTTTCTCTGTGGCAGTCTCACAGAGTGTTTAAGAAATCAGTCCCTGGTGAGGGAGTTTCCAGTGTGACTGAGCTCAGGTGAACAGAGTCATACATGAGCTTCATCTGGAAGATGCTGCTACTAAAAGCATCCTTTTCACAATTGTAAGACTGTCAATGCAGAGCAGTGCTATTGTGGGACACCTGTTGTGGCAAACTCAGTGGAGAAGTTGTAAAGCCAATTGCAACTATTGCTCTTCTGCCTACTTTCTTGTTTGTTGTGCTTCCCAGTTGACTTTACCAATATTTACTTGAAACAAGTAGTACAATCACACAAGTTCGCAATGTGCTAGTGCAATATATCAACAGCATAGGTTGCAATTCCTCATTGGTATGTCTGAGTCCCTTAGATGATAGGATTTTTGCTGTTCTTACCCACAGGTCTTCATATATCTTAAACACATTTAGGAATAAAGTCAGGAGTAAAAAGACTTTGCTCCCAGGTTAAATAACTGGACTGATATTCACAAAGTCATGCAATATATTTGAAATTCACTTTTCTTGCAGGCTGCACAGACTCTGGGCATATCTCCACTTTCTACTGTGTCTTATTTTAAGCACTAAGGAGCAAATGAAATGCTGGACCAACCTAATATGGACGGTGAATTTCGGTGATTTTAAACAAAAGCCCATGTGGCCAGTGTGCCTTCAAGTGATACAAACTGAAATCTTGGGTCTAGAAAATTATCTTAGGTTGTAAATTATTATATTATTCTGCAGCCTGCCAAACTGTAATAATACACATACATTAATCTGACAACGAGTATGAGCTGGCTAGAGACATCTATTTGGCGCTGAATTTGTTGTTTGAATGAGAGATGGAATTGAATCTGGAAAGGAAGGAAGGGCACGATGCACATTCCTCTACCCTATCAAACCATAGTTCAGAGCCAATTCAAATACAAACAAGAACTGATAAAGCTAGATTTGTCTGGTGAAAATGAGGAAAGCATAGGGTGACCTAATAGGAAACTAAGGCCAAAATACAAACTGATTAAAAAAATATGGGCTGAACTGTTTATGAAAAGTAAGATTAAATACAGAGTTCTTTATTGCAAGAGGACGAAAATGTGAATAGTAAAATGAAGATAATCTTTTTGGGGTGTGGAGAGATACTGCTCTTGCCAGCATGTTTTTTAATTGTGAAAAGCTAATGCTTCTGTTCTCTGTAGGAGATGGATTTGAGCGTGTACTCTGTGTGCAGGGTAACACTCCAGGGTATAGTAAAGAATAAGTCAAGAGGATTATGAAGCAGGCAAAATGTGATTCACCAAAAGGAATACATATTTCTTTCAGGGTGTCATCACAAGAATATTGTGTAACTTCTGAGAAATTCCTGACCTAGATTTTCCCGTCTTGGATATTTTTATTTTTGTTGTTCAAGTAGTGTTTGTATAACAGTGAAAGTTTTGTGCAGCACCCCAGGAGGGCAGGGGGGAAACAAAACAACAACCCTGAACAAAGAGAGAAAAGTTTTGGGAAAATCCTTGTGAGCTGTGGGCTTGAGATCCTCAGTGCTCCTCGTGCATCTCAGGAGAAGAGTGGAAAGTTGCAGGAAGAAAGGGACATATGTGACTTTCATCATGTTTTACACCCCAGGGCTGGGGGTGGTTGAGGAATAGTTCTAATCCCCAACTCCAAGTAAATTACAGTAATAATGAGATTTTTCTTATCTACTGTAGCAATGCAGTGGAGCATAAAGGATGTCTGGGATTCTTAGTGTGCCCTGTTCTACCTGAGCAATCGAAACCAGAACAGTTTTATGCCTTCTGGAAATTTCTTGAGGCTATGAACAGAAAAAATCTTTTGAGCCCCAAGGACATGTTTACATGCTTGCAGGAAAGGAAGGTCCAAGTGCTCTCTAGATCTTTCTCTTTTTCAGACTTATTGTCTTCAATCTCAAAGTACTCAATTTTTGTGCCCTTCTATATCTCAGATACTGGAATGCAGCATAAGACCCATGGTATTATGCTACCTTTAATTAAAGACAACGGAACAAAATGTCATTAATGATAAGCAGACATGTGAGGCTTTGTTTAAGCACATGTCCAGTTCCTCACTGAAGGAGATAAGAAATTGCAACTATATTTCCTTTAATTTATTAGATCTGTCAGAGTAAAAATAACATCCAAGATAAGATAATGGCACTATAAATTTTGCTTCTTCATTTTCAAAATGATTTATGATCCTTTTATTTGCCCAAACAATTTCTATTGAAAGTTGAGTTCTCATTCTTCAGCGGTTCTCTAAATTCTAAATCTAGACAGAACTTTTGGACATGAAACACAATTGGCAAACAAAATAATATCTCTTTTGGTAGCTGTCTCATTTCAAGCAAGTCCAATTGTTGATTGAAAATCTTAAATTTTCTTTAGTCACAGCTTAAATGAATGTGATTTAGTTCTGAAGTAAGCTGAAAAGCTGCACTTTCAAACCTGATCCAGAGCCTGTTGAAGTCAGTCTTTCTATTTAATCCACTGACACTGGAGTGATTTAGGCCCTCTCTCTTTAATTATCCTAACTACAGACAATGTTGATTGGGTGACGCTCTGATCTCATTCTCCAAAAGAAGGATTTTTGGCAAGAAATCTTCCCTTGTTAAAATCAGATACTGCACAAGTGGAACACCTCTGGGATCCTGCTGTCTTTTTGTTGGGATCACCAATAGAGGAAATATTTTTCTTAATTAAAGAAGTGAAAAACACTCATAAGGTCACCTTGTCATGGTGGTGAGATTTGTGGTTGCTTTGTAGTGGGAAATAATGGAACTCCCTCTGGGATCAGTGTGCCCGATTTAAAATATAGGATAAAGTGATGTTGGAAAAACTAACTTACAAAGTGAAATCAAATCGCTGAAGAGAAATATATAGCCTGCATTCCTTTGCTATTTATTTTTTTATGCTGAATGGTAATAGCAGAATTGTCCTCTATGGCAGAAAAAGAGAGTTTTTATTGATAAAAATTGTAGAACTTTAGTATGTGTCATTTGTTAAATTTTACTGTGTATTAGAATAGAATATTGCTAATATAAAATTTTAATTGATTAAAAGAATTTGAAAACCTAGAAAAGCACATAGGTTCTTTCCTATTGTTAAGGATTGTTTTAATAATGAGCTGTCAATGTAAACTTTTTCCATTTAATACTGTGAGAAACATGCTGTACTTTTAGTTATGTTTCATCACATTTGCTCTTGATTCGAAAAATAGGGCAGAATGTCATGCAAATCTTTAACACATGGGAACTTTGTGATCTTGACAACAAAGCAGCTTCAAGGGTTTTGTGTTGTTTTATTACTTTAGACTGAACTGCAATGTGTGAAATGTGAAGCTTTTGTAAAACTGAAGACAAGAAATTACTACAGTTCCCTGGAATAATTATAATTAAAAGTTTCTGCAATATAAATTAAGAAAACAAAATCTTAATCTTAATTTCACCCTCTTTTTTTTTTAAAGTGTAAAATATGTCACAACAAACTTCACTGTTGGCCCCAGTTTGTATTTGTGCCTCAGAATCATGACATCTGTTTGGGAGCACTCATAAATCTGTCAAACCTGCACAGCAGAGCAACACACATTGTTGTTGCCTTGGACTTTTGGCAGCATCCAGGGAAGAGAGGGAATCAAGATTTGTTTGTTTTGTTTTGCTGTGTTGTTTTCCCTGCCGACAGCTTCTAATTGCTAATATGCCAGAGAACTGAAGTAATTTTATTATTCATGATTGATGATTTTTGGCCTTATAAAATGTTTACAACTTTTATACTCATGTAATAGTTTTAACTCTTCTTTCTGTTTTTAAGGATAAAAGCCCAATAAAATTCCAGACTGTTGTTATCTTACTTAAATGGCCTTTCTCTAGGATGAATAGGAGAGGCATTGTCCTTTAAAACTCCACATTCATCCTTTCCTCTTCCAAATAAAAGGTGTGTTTGAATCCAGGCCTGTTTAGAAAGGCCTCAAAACTTTTTTATCTGTTTTCTATCTAACTATTTTTAATTATAATTTTGATTAGAAAACTGCCTTGTTGTCCTGAACCTGTATCAATAGGAGTTTCTCCATTTTACTTTAGCAAACTAAGGTGCGGTAGGAAGTGGTAAACAGAGGTCCTTGTCTGCTGTTGCTGATACCTGTTCAGTCATTTCATAGTTATTACAATCTCTCAAGCTGTTAGATTGATTTACAGGGCATAACGTTTCCCTGTAATGTATTAAAGCTACATACACAGCAACCTCTTGAGTCAGGAAGAAGCAGTGCTGCACAGCACAGTGGGTTTCTGTGTAGCATGATTGGAAGACAAACCTGACCTTATGGCAAATCCATGGTGTATGTGGAAATGAAATAAGCCTCCTGAGTTTATCCTGTGCTTGAACTATCTTGAAACCATCATGGTTTCCCTTGTTCTTGCTATGAAAGACTGAAGTATTTTCAAAAACTGGCAGTACAGATTCTTTCCAGATGTTAAAGAAACTGCTTGAAGTTAAATGGACCTAAATAGCAAGTGATGATTTTTACTTATTCTTTTCAGTATGTCAAAATGACAAAGTGACTTACCAGTTCCTCGTAATTCGATGGTAATTGGTAAGAATACGAATAAGGAAACAGGAGCAGCTGGGAGTAGGAGTGAATCGTCAAGTATGCCTTGATTGTAGAAAGATGCTCACGAATGAAATCAGCCAAAGCCTTGGTCTCCTTTTCAGACTCAGGTGCAGGGCCACAGTAAGTGGAGTCACAGGGGCTTTTCGAAGCCCCAAGAGCTGGGAAGAAAGGTGAATTTAATGAGCATTTGATAAAAAAAGCTGGTTGTTAAGAGAGTTATGTTACACCACTTTTGTAGATAAGCCTTGGAAATCCTACTGACATATGTGCCATATCAGAGAAGAGAATATTTTATTAGATAGTTAAGACACTGGGCAACATGACAAAGCATTAAATAAATATGCCTTGTAGAGTGTGCATAGTAGAAAAAACATGAGTATTGATGTAAAGCCCTGTATTATCTAAATGATTTGGGATATTGATTTGCTTTACTACTTAACAATCCTCTCCTTGCATATCTTCTCCATTTTTAGGAACCAAGTGAAAACCCCTCGAAAGAAACCCCTGTCCACTAAGTGAAACCAGCCAAAAGCAAACTCAGTTTCTGTTCTGCACTCATAGAAAAGTGTACGTATATATGTATATGTGTGTATATATATTTGTTCATAGAAGTAGACATACTGATGATACTGTTTTTTGCCCAAAACTGCCTCAAAAATTGAACACAAGATACTCCACAATGCTATACTGGTGGTCTTCACTCAAGCTTGAACTGGACCAACCATCAGGTAGGGAAAATCTATAATTATGCTTCTATTGCACCTCTGTATGATCACTTGCAGCTATTGTTAGGAGACACTTACTGCACCAGCCAGCATTAAAATTCCTGTTGGGATCTGTACCACGGCAACGGCTACCAGCATTTTCAGAGCGTGTCTTTCTCCACATGCGGTCCTTAAACACAACATTTTGATGTATGAAGCATAGATCAAACCTAAGAGAAAGTTCCAACAGCTGGATTTTCCAGCAATAGTGATCTTGAGAAAGAAGAATGTACTTACTGTGGTCCAAGTGTAAACGTAACCATCAATATTGACAACAGGCAAAACATAGAAGTCCAAGCTGTCAAGAAGAGTGGTCATGACAGTATCTTTTCCATAGGTCTCAACAGCCTAATTGGAGAAAAGTAGAAAAAAGCTGATGATGCATTTATAGATCTGTATCGAAAGGCCTGGGTCTGGATTTAATGAATCCAGAGTGAAGTCATCCAGCTCATTGTTATTGCATATACTTCGAGCGTTTACACCGACTCAAACTACACCACTGTTAGGAAGCCATCTCATTCTGTTGGATGAATTATATGGTAAAGCAGTGCTGGTTTTGAACAGGGTATTAAATCACTGGAAAGATTCTTGTTCTACTAGCTTCTTGTTTACAGGCAAAGTTCTATCTACTACCTGACACCATAAAGGTTTGGACGTAATTTATGTGAGAAGGAAAATTAATTATTCCCCTATTAATTTTTATATCTGTTTTGCAGAGAAATTTCATCAATAACCAAAATTATAGAGAACATCCTTACACACTTCCAGGCGTAATGCTGGGGATGCGTATGTTCACAAGGGAGGAAGATTTTTCCCTGCACTTTTCCAGACATGTACATTGAATAACAGATATAAGAACTCCTGCCATAATCCTGTAATCCTGTGTATCCTGATTGTTCGTGGCCTGGCACTTTGTATGCTTGTTCAGATTTATATCAGTGTTGAGGGAACATGCGATGGTCATAGAAATTTGCTCTAAGAAGTATGTTGCGCCCATGTTTCCTTTAGTCTCCCCAGATGTAAAGGACAACGCAAGGAGCAATGCAATGGAGAAAGAAAGGGATCCGTTGTCCTGTGACTACCAAGTGGGAAGGTTGACTGTAGAATCTAGAAAAGCCATTTCAGATCACTAGAACTTATTTTTTCCTGTTTTTTTTTTTTAATGCTTAGGTTGGGTTTTTTTTTGGAGATACATTTAACAGTCCACTTTGCTCATGTTTTTCTCTGGTGTTTTTTCTAACTTTTATGTCTAGAAGCAGTCCCAAGTGAACCACTGATGACGCTCAGAGGACTGCGCTTTTGAAGCACTTCTGCCTATCCACACTTGGATCCACTGAGCAGAGCCGCTGCTGGTGTCAGGTACACCCATTAATTAAGTGACCAGACAGTGAAAATGACAGCTGTAGTGACGTGAATTGCTAAGAGAAAAATGGTAGCACATGCTGTCTGCAGCCTTATTAGGAGATAATGAAATCACATTCCCATTGACTCCACTGAGATGTCACTTTCAATTTCCACTGCTCCCTGCGCAAAACCGCATGGCTGGCTGATCAGACTGAGATTATACTTGCCACCAATGCCTCTGCCAGCGTGACTCACTCATGTACCTTGGCTTTCCTTTCCTTCCATTTTAAATACCAGCTACTGCTTCTGGGCTTGCCTTTTTTTTCTTTTTTTTCCTAATCTTCAATTCTTCCAGTCTTCAATTCTTACAAAATTTCAAATTCAATCACTGGCAGAAATTCTTACAAAATTTCAAATTCAATCACTGAGCTGTTCTGCTAAGTTGATTGATCTCCCTCTATTGACAGGGAATATACTTCTTCTCTGTAGAGAAGATTGTGTAGCATTTGATAACTCTCACCTGCTTTATATTGGTGGTGAGGAGAAGGAAAAGACAAAGGAGATAAAATTGTTTAATTCGAGGCCTAAAGTATCCCAGCCTGGAGTGAAGCTAATTCCACCTGTGCAGCTCTTTTCTGAATATGGTTTCATGTTTTAGAAACCATCCTGTACAACTTGAAGTGGCAGCTCAAAGGGATATAAAAGCATTTCCCTCTCCTCAAGTGAAGTTTAGGGAGCTTCATCTATAGCCTTCCTCCTCTCTCTGGTACATTTCCTCAGTGCACTCTGTGCTTAGCTGATGGTAGGTTTCCATCCTTTCTGTTGCCTTGTGGAGTAAAGCTGGTTGCAGGGAATACGGCTCCTGATGTCGTAGGAAGACAGCTGTTCTGACATGCATTTAGATGCTTTCTGATGTGCCCCTGAATTTCCTTATTCCCTACTCCTTATGCCTGTGCAAAGAACATGACTGTGATTATAATGTTACCTGTTTGCTTTTTTCTCACCTTTCTCTGACTACAGGTGCAAAAAAGAAATTTATAGACTGTGTACGTAACCCTTGTAGTTGTCAGTACCTCTTACATATGCTTTTAGGTAGTCTTAGGCTGCTGAAAGATTACAGGTCCAACCATTAAGATCTGGTTCAGGTAGTTACACCCTGAATATCTGAACTGAGAGAAGGGTTGGCAGACAGGTATTTAGAGGTAAAAAGGCAATCTGCAGCTTCCTCAGCTCTTGCTGCTCACTTAATATTTTCTTAAACTAGTTGCATTTTGTAAAATATTTTTTCATCATTAAGCTTACTGACTTCTTTCACAAACCACTGGCAGAAAGCAGGGGAGATCCACTCTCTTGCATGGAAACCACAATCCATGAAGATGGCCTTCTTATTTGGACCACTTTTTCCCATCTAGGATAAAAAAAAAACAACAAACCCCATGTCTTAAACAAAAGAATTTGTATGCAGAAAAAGTCATTCAGCTTGCTGACCTTAAAAGTCAAACTTTATCCAAATACAGCATTCCTTGATTAAATGGAAATCTATGGAGTGTTCTCAGCTGTAGCTGACCATGATATTCTAGCTAAAACATAATAATAATTTCATTTTTATTAATGTAGATAAGCTTTCCACCCCACTCCTCCCCAATTATTTGATTTTTCTGCACTGTTGTTTTATTTCCTGTAGTGTCTCTAAGAGTTGATCTTGTTTGCTTGAATGATATATTATTGTAAATGCTTATGCAATTTTTGGCAAGTAATCTTTATCCTTTCACCTTTATTTAAGCCATCATATCTTATTTATTCATAAGAGTTATGCCAAAACCAAATAAATTTGTTGCCTATTCCTAGAGAAATTAGAGATTTAGAGATCCTTTTAGACTAAATGGGTTTGCAAACAACAGATGGAGAGAACATAAATGTAGATGATTCTTCAAATAGTTCTTGAGAGTGTGGTTAAATTTGTATGTCTGAACTTCTATTATTTCATTATATCCCTTCTTCAAAAAAATCTTAAAAGTTGAACAAATCATAGTAGTAGTGAAAAAAAATGTACTAGATTTTCTGCAAAATGTATATTACTGTCTTAGCATCATTGGTGTTTTAACAGACATCATAATCTTGTGGAATTTAACAGAGGAAAGGTCTGGCACGAAGAAATGAAAGCACTTACTTTGAGAATATACATCGGCCGTCCCTCGTATGTTTCCCCAATCACACTGCGAGTGACAAGATCTGGGTTCTGAGCGGCGATATCAGCAGTCCAAGCAGCTATCTGTTTAATAAGAAGGTTAAATGTACAGACTCTATCCTCAGGTCCAGAGTAATTAATTCACAGGCTTCAAGCCAGAACAGTCCTTCTGAGCACCTAACTTGACCTAATATTTGATACATTTTGTAGATTTCCAAGAATCAATTCCTACTTGTACTAGAGCTGTATGTCTGAACTGATTTTTCTAGTATGAATTTATTTAAACCTGTCATTGGAGTATGGCTGGTGGATTACAAAACCCTTTGAATGCTAACCCTGTGTAGTTGTGACCTTGTCAACACTTAAGCTCTCTTAACAAAAGAAAACTGTTTTTCTTGTTAAGTTTACTAGATTGAATTCCTTAAATCTTCTACATGTTGTAATGTTTTTGAGTTTCATGGCTCTTTTACTCATCATTCTTGAATTACTGACAAATGCTGGACAGGGGTTTGTAGGAAAAGTCTACCAATGCCAGATATAAAAGAAAGAAAATTTCCTTCATTCTACTTATTATTTAAGGGAAGTAATAACAGCCTTTATTATCTTAATATTGGAGCAGATTCTCTTTGTTATAGGTGCCTTCAGAAGCTCACAAAAAAGTTGCCACATCCATACAAAAAAGCATTTCATGCCCAAAGAGCTATCTAATCTATGAACTAAGAAAAAGACAAGAAACAGCAGACAGGTCCAGACAAACTGTCAAGAAAATATTAGAAATAATGGTTGACATTACGGATGTTGGTGGTTTTTTGCATGCAAATAATCTTTGCAGTCAGTGGAGCTTTTGGGTTTTATTTTTTAATAGCCTTGTAAAAATAGAAATTTTTTTTTAGGAGAGTTCTGGTGGAAGAAAATGGATTAGATCTGTGTATGATCTACAGATAGTACTTGGGGAGGAAATATAAATTTTCCTGTTTGAAAACGTAACAGGTGCTTAGTGGGAAATGACCGGCACAAAAATGAAAGATTTTTGCAAGGAAAGACACAAAAGGCAGATTGTTATACTTTTAAATATAAAGACTGTGATGCAACGTGATGCAAAGATGTGAAAAGCGACATGGTCAAGATAACTTGTCAGGAAAAACGAGCGTGGCTGTGAAAAAAGGAGGGAGGAGGGGAGATCTTAGGGTGGAAGATGAAGAGTTTGAATTTGGGCAAGGAATGGAATCAAGTTATTTATCAGAGGAGGTGGGAGAAGGAGTGAAAAAGAAAGAGCAAACTAGTAGTGAAGCACATCAGCCTAGTCATTGGATTTCTGCCAGTTTCCTTGCAGCAGTGGGAGCAGAACTAGAGGAAGTTGGTGTAGGGGGATGGGTTATACAAATTAACTCAGTAATGAGCACTAAAGGAGAAGAGGAAGGAGAGCTTGGAGGAGTTATCATATTAAAGGATGGGACAGAAGAGGACAAGGGAAGAAGGCTGGAAGCCTACCTGAAGCAATTTTGCTCACAGAGGCTAAGGCACCAATCAAATAAAGTGGCAAGCTTCTAGACTTTACCGTTTCCCAGTTGTTGTACTTTTCGTAGCTGTGACTGGCGGTACGAGCTTTGCTGTCAAACTGGGCGTCCACTGCGGCCCGCAGGTTGTCAATCAGAACTCTGCAATAAGGCACCATGAAAAGCGTGAAGAGAAATACACAGTTTGCTAGCAGGAAAGCAAGCACCAGACAGACATTTCAGGGTCTTCCTGGAATTAAGGCTGCATGGATTGTAAAGTGAAATGTGTGTGTGTGGGGGGGTTGATTTATGTGTTTGAAAATAAAATATATTAGGTTCAAGTTTCAACCTACTTCCTGCCTCAACCTTGCTGCTAGAATGATCAGGGTGCAATAACTTCTTCCTAATTAGCACCTGCCTGCTTACTGCCATACTAACAAACCTCCAGGGTAGCAAGTTTGCTTTAGGAAGAATGGCAATGCTGAGACTGAGTGTGTGTAGACAAAGAGCTTTGGGCTGACCTCATGTTGCCAGATTGCCTCTGCCTCAGCAGGAAAAGGGCCCTCTCTCGAACTTATGGCACTGGAGGACAGTTAGACTGCAGCAACCCAGAGAGGTTTGCCTGACGAAGTTCTTCGTCAAACCAAGCTTCCAAAGTTTAGGTGTGGTTTGACAGCTCTTTTGCAGGTGGCATTATCCATCCTCCAAGCTGCTTCACTGCATGTGAGGTGGGCTATTAAAGTAGAACAAACAATGGCAGGAAAACCCCAGCATCCCATCTGGATCTTTCCCTGGGACTGACACAAAGGGGCAGCTCATTGTTGAGCATGCTCTTGAGGACCTTTTGCTTGTATTTCAACCTTGGCTATCAAAAAATGAAGTCCTCTTGTTTTTCCAGTGCTTGTATTAACATTCTTACAAATCTTATTCATCCAGGATATGTCCTTGATCATCTGTGACTTGGATAGAAGAGCAGGAGGCCACTTTGTGAGGCGCCACCGGCCTTCAGAACAAACAGTGCAAATGACTACATTGACATGATGTCACGGCATTGCAGCTGCACTTCAAAGGAATTGTAACAGCTTGGGTTGTCACAAGGACGCTGCACTCAAGTTTGTCAGGGACGCTTTCCAGACAGTATGGCCTTTATTGCAATCAAAAGATTTGTGCATGGACCTGAGGGAGTTCATGAATATTATAGGAAAAACTAACACATGTAGAGTAACTCCTCCTTTGCCAAAGAGGAAATTCCACTGAAATTGGATTCCTGTGCTGTATGTGGGCTGTGGCATTATTGAAAATTATTTCTTTTAGAATGTTTTTAGATTCTATTCTCCTAGCAGCATCCAAATCAGACATGGTTAACACAAGGCCAGTAAGTTTAGGGATGGATTATCCTTGGATTTAGCAGATCATAAAAGTAATGTTTAATGAGAGCTGTGTGGTGTCCAATGAAGGAATTTGTTCTGGTGGCAAAAACAATGGGGCCAAGAGACAAAACTCTCCACCCAGCAAATGAAATCATGAGAATTTGATCAAATAATGCTGACTTTCAGTGTCTGAGTACATGATGTTGACAGAATATCTATTACACATTGAAGAAGCCCGATAATCAAGATGAGCTGAGCCAATTTGCAAAGCTCAGGTGGAGCTAAAGGAGCGATGAAGGCAGACAGCCCCACTTCACTCCAACCCAAAGTCAACTTCTCATCCTCAATTAATGCTTGCATAGTGACTCCGAGATATGAAGTACAAGCAGTTGCTCTTTTCTCCTTCCCCTCCCATTCGTGCTACTCACTACAATGATTCCATTCTCAGGGATGTGTATTGTGGCAGTGTGGTCTATTCACTCTACTTATGCTACACTTGTATTCGGTCATGGAAATTGAGGGCTTTTTTACTTCTGTGTAATATACTTATGAAATATATGAGCTAATTAAGAGTTCACTCTTTGGAGAAATCCTTGACATGGATCTGCTGTGTGACTTTAGTAACCCCAAGGCTGCCCTGGGAATCTGTTCTCACTGCTTCCTTGCCCTCCATCTGGCAACTGTCTTCTCTTTGTCACCAGTTGGGGTTTTTTTGAGCTATTGCTCTGCAGGTTAGAGAACTTAGTGGAAAGCTCTTCGTGGTGACCCTTGGGGCTCACCATTTTCTGGCTTCAGGTCCCTGATACTATCATGAAAACCCATCTGGTGTACGTTCCGGCTCTTTCTAGAGCTTTGCTGCATTTTGTCTTTAATAGTAAATTTTTCTTGTCCCTTCTGTAGTCACCCTGCAGGGACCTTTCACCTCTAGGGATTTCCTAGTAGTAACTCTTTGCTTCCCATCTCCTACCTCTATCAACATTTCACCTCACCTCTATAACTCAGAGCACCTACAGTACATTTCAACTGCCACAAGAAAGCTGAACCCAGTAGAGTCATCCACAGGAGGGATGAAGTTTGTGACAGGAAGATCAGTTGACCAATATGAAAAGATCAAACATACTTTCCCCATACTTTCCATCTCCTTTTATGCAAAAATGCAGTAGTGAAAACAAACTTACCTATACTCCATTCCACTTTCTTTCAAAAGATCTTCAACCTCAAAAGAGACATCAGCTTCAACTCGGAAATCAACTTGCATTTTTGGCTTTACCAGTGTGACAGTGTCTGGCTGCCAAAAATCAACCTGAAAGAAGGCCAAATGAATACATAAGCAAATAAATATATACATATAGCTGTGATTTTAGGTAGGTGTATATATAATGGTGATGTTGATTGTGATTAATATACCAAATTTCATTCCTATGTTTTTACACTGACCTGACCTTGCTTGCCAGAAGTATCAACTTAAAGTTTAACTGGAAATTGATTAAGAAGTTTTTATTAGGTCCTGCAATTTATATGGCAGAATTCTGGAGATGCCAGTGACAGTTTCACAAATGCTAAGTATTCCACAGCATCTCAGTGCATACAGACTTGTGAGTATTATAACTATCTTTACAACTTCTTTCACTCTTTGTATAGATTTTGTTGGAGGTTGCTGCCTGTAAGCGTTAGACAGAAATGGACTCCTGACTCAGTAGCAGGGGGACACTGCCTGAATACTTTACAAAAATCAGCTGGGAAAGATTGTTGTCTGTATGAGCACTTTTAAAACTAAGTTCACTAAAGTTGGTGTAGGAACCTGTGCCTTTGGAACATGTTTAGTGCAGGGTGGACAAAAGGCAGTGCTATCACTATTTAATGTATTTTTGCTGAAGTCAGCTTCCAGATCTCTGGATTTAGCATGCTATTAAAGGCAGTGAAAGCAAAGCTGGTTTGCCAATCTAATGCCTTTTCAGCCTTTCATCTTGTGAATGTAAAGAAAATTGGGGCTGGTGGGCATATTCATGAACTATGTGTCTTCAAGTGAGATGACTATTCCAGGATATACTACTGCAACGTTCCTGACTGGTTGTTTTGTAAAACAATGGTAGTCCAGGGATATTTCCTTTGCTAAAAAGAAAAGGAACAATCCCTTTATACTAAACACTTAAAAGCAAGCATGATATATTAATATTCTTAATATTGGTAGCACCATTCCAATAGTATATTCTTCTAAGGAACACTGTTTGAGCATGCTCTACTGGCCTGTTAATGATAGTTCTCCACATCTGTACTTCGTTAAAAATACCATCCTTTCATCCTACAGATAATGGTGTCTTTTTCACCAACAGCTATTTTACAACATCAAAGCTGATGAGAAATATTGAAAACACATTTGCTGTCTTTATTGTTTTTTCTCATGTCATTGTGTCATCATATATCTACATCAAGGTCAGTAAGAAACATGCAGCTTGGCTGGAGAGAAAGGGAGCTTTAAAGGAAAGTCAGAGAAGAAAAGATGACATGAGAGACTCGAGGCCAAAGAAAAGTTCAATTTGTTGGGAGTATGGAGTATTAGATTATTTACATGAGCAGAGTGTTTTTGCCTGTAATGGTAAAAGTTCTGGTATTTCCATGTTTTATCTAATACATTCTTAAAACCCCCCACTGAATACAGCATTTCAGATTAACTTATTCTATTAAGAAATTCTGGTGAGTGCTTTGATATTCAGATTGGATTATCCAGACTTTCTAGGAAGGAATTAGAACGTTTTTGCATAGCTCTAGCTTTATCACCTTGTCCTGTTCCTTCAGGACTCCAGCTGACTTGAATGGGATCAAGACTAGATCTTTAATGCAGTTGCATGATAATTTTTTTTAAAAGATGTACATTAGTTGAACAAAAGGAGAAATGTTTTTTTCAAATGCAATATGGCCCCTTCCCAAGTTCTTTACCTCTATGTTGCTGGCAAGGGAATTGATGATTTCCACCTGCTCGTCATTCTGTGGAATCACACGAAACACCTTCTGCCTGAAAGGGGAGAAAACAGTTGGATTTGAAACAGGTAAGTCAATTGAGAGCTTTTGCTGATGCAGAAGAAATTGTGCAAATATAAAATCTCATGTCTGTTCTTACCCTTCAAAGGCAAAATCCTGCAGGTGAGCAGAAACAGCTGCAGCACCTATGAGAACCCAGAGCGCCCACATTTTTTCTGAAAAGAAAAAACCCAGTTTTTCAGTTCTTCTGTGCTGCTTTTATAACCTGTTTTGTCCTGCTTTTTATCAATTATACACTGGAACTACCCAGTGATCAACTGATAGATTATTCCATTGGCCTTGTTTTATTTGCGTACTATTTATAATGTGTGTTTTACTCCACACCTGTGAAAACAGATGAAAGTCTCAAAGAGGGGCTGGATAAAGAATCTTGCTACTTGAACTGGATAAACTCTTGATATGAGAAAGTTAATTTAATATACTGTGTTCTTTTCTGACTGTACTTTGTTCTTTTCTGTTGTATATGAATTTTGATTAAATTTTTGTTATTTAAATAATTTGGTTGCTGGATTACAAACTTTACTTTATAATACTTTATTGTTACTTTATGTAATGGTAGATGTCTGTCAGGTGTTGTTGCAGTGTGACTCGTCTTAATTACACAGCATTGCCCCTCTTCCTGAATAATATGGGGCTGACTGACAAAGGAAAGGGAAACACATTAGGGATGTACCAATTTTCTTTTCTTTTTTTTTTCCCAACAGAGAAGAAAAGCACTGAAATTGTTCTTTGCTCTGTCACTTCACTGAAACTTGTGAGTAAGCCAGGGGTCTGCAGAACTGAGGGTGTAGTTACAGTGGAGTTGTATATATACTCCACATCATATATTCACTGATCCTCGCATGTTCTCTAATTTAATCATGTAAGGACCAGAGGTATATATCTTTTAAGTTAAGCACAACTGTGAGCATTACATACAGGGCAAGAAGATTAAATGTAATGTAGTGGTACAAAAGCATTTTTATCTTTACCTTTTATGTTGTGCCTAAGCTATCTAAGAAACAATAGTGTGTTTGCATCACTGCACTTGCATCTGTTTAGTTTTCATTAACAGATACTTGGCATTAATGTTAATTGTCTGTTGCCGTTGTGTCCTGAGGTAACTGATGTTTTCGACAGGGAGCTTCTAAATGAATCAGTGTATAAAAATATAAAGAATGGAATTTATGAGCTCAGTTCTGTCTTCTGTTATCCCTAGATGACCAGACAAATTAAAGATGTCCAGACACAGATAATCCTGAAGATGTTCTTTGACCCCACGTCTCCTATTTTGCAGAAATCTATATATATGCATATGACATCATATGTGAAAATTTATTGGAAAATTAATATATATTAATCTCATATTAAAGACATAGTTACAAAGTGCAGCAATTTGAATTGTCAATAACCATTTTAAGAATGAATGTGGCATCAGACTCTGCACCTAATTTTTTATGAGGTTTTCTGGAGTCAACTCAGTAAAGCTGCATCAGCCTTATATACAAAATACCTAGAAATATATATTTAAAATCAATGTACCAAAAATGCAGCAGTTTATGATTGACAATATGACCCATGATGAATATGTTCCTGAAAGGAGACTCCAAGACTGCACTGAGCCTATTTACCCAAAACTATCTTTGCCAAATCGTAGGGTTTGAACTTACTTTACAATTAATGATCTAATTTGTAGCACTGTAGGTTCTTGCCCGCAATAGTCTTACTTAGAGTCAAGTCTCCTAAGAACAATGACAGCAGGAGTTATTCTGACAGAGTGCCAAAACAATACCGCAAAATCATCAGAAGTTTTAATTTTACGATGATGAGATCTACAGTATCAGATAAAATGGTCTGATCCCATGAACACTGCTAAGACAATAATGTGAAGATGATCAAGCCCAGATCTTGCAATGAATAAATGATCACAAGAAGTAATCAAACAAATTGCAGATGTCATCATTCCCTATTGAGCACTGAGAAGCATCTTGGAAATAGAAGACTGCCAGGTTTCAGTGTGTGAGTTTACTTTTAAGAAATTCTTTCCTTTTGCATGCAGTTGGAGATGAGGGGCGATTTTTGTTATATGGGGCTTTTTTCTCCAATCACTGACACAGCGTAACTGCCATCAACTACTGAGCTAGCAATCATTACAGAATACTATAATTTCCAATGGCAATCTTTGCTGTTTCCATCCCAGGCTATGTCAGAATAAAACAATGATCTAGAATCATACTTCAGTGATTTATTTTGCATATCAGGATTGATGGTTTTTTTGTCAGATTAGCTCATAAACTAGCTTCAAACTTTGTTTTATTTTTCTAACTCTATAATATAAATGTTTAATATTTGTATGATAAAAGGGCAGCATAAGGATATATAAAATGGCAAATTAAATTTGGTTAAGCCATCTGTTCTTTTTAATGCCTGATTACAAGTCAACAGCACATCAGTTGGCCATGGCTGAGGAAAACTTGGTCTTTACTACTAAACACTGAGTGCAGAGGCTAGGATTACCTATATCTCTGAAATGATTCAGAAGGAAGATTTTATATTTTTTTTTAATCAAGAATGTAGCAAAACCAGCTGAATCCTGAAAGGAGAGCATGTGGTAATTTCCTTCAGGACATGTATTTTGTCTTATACTTAAGGTGAACACAGCTGAAAAAATTGTCAGCTATTGCGGTTTTGTTGCAGTTGTTTGCTGTTTTTGATGATGAAAAATAAAGCCTTCTATGATGTTGTCACTCACAATGAGTATTCCCTGTGTTTAGTGACATGAGCTGTAAAAAGTTTTGATGCTAATAATTGGCTGTATTCCAGCTGAAATTCATTTTTGTAGTAATTTCTTATTTCAGTTTTAGAAATAGAAATACGCTGGTGCTCCACTTTGAAAAGCTTATGAAGACTAACCACAAACTGATAAAAGGAAAAAATAAACATCAATGTTAGCATTTCAGAAGCTTCCTTTAACCTGTGAAGCCTTTCATCCTATTTGTTATCAAACCAGCTACAAAAGTCTGAGGATAACTAATGTCTCTTTTTCTAGGAGTTTCAGTAGATGCAGATTTCCTCAATGAGACAGTTTCTGAAGCAAAGGCAAGAGACAAGCATGGCTGAGTCAAGACCTGCTGGTCAAATTAAAAGGCAAGTAGGAAACGCACAGGCAGGGGATGCAGGGACAGGAGTCCTGGGAAGAGTATAGCGATCCTACCTGGTTGTGTAGGCATGGGGTCAGGAAGGCCAAGGTACAGCTGGAGCTGAACTCTGCAAGGGATGCAAAGAATAATAAGAAGGAATTCTACAGGTATGTCAGCAAGAAAAGGAAGGTCAAAGAAAGTGTACTCCTGCTGGTGAGCAGCAAACTAGTAACATCAGACAAAGAGAAGGCTGAGGTATCCAAAAACTTGTTTACCTCAGTCTTCACTGACAGCCTCTCTTCCTACACCTCTTGAGTGGATGTACCACAAGGCAGGGACTAGGGGAGCAAATTGCCACCCACTGTAAGAGAAGATCAGGTTTGTGACCACTTATCTTCATTTATTTGTTAAGGAAATACATGCTAACCTTGGTTCTGAAGAGTTGAATATACTGTTGAATATATTCTGAAGACCTTTGAGAGTACTTTGAAGAGGCCAGGATCAGCAGAATCTGCTATCCAGTGTATGCTCCAAGCTTTCTTAGTACTTTCTCTGTATTTATATATTATTAATATTGCATCTTTTAATTCATCAAAGGCTTTTTCAACTTCAGTGCCCTGGGACATGCTCATATCCTACCGTTTTGGTAGCTATGTGTAGGTATCTAGGTATATATATTTTTTTTTCCCCTTCACATTTGCAGATGCTGTTTACCATGAACAGGAACTGGGTAAGGAGAGGAATGAACGGGAGCAATGAGATCTTGGGTATGGAACAAAGAAAGATGGCTTTCATGACTTTGGGATGTGTTTCTACTTCTGCCATTGACTCACCTGGTGAGAAACAGCAAAACCTGTCACTATTCTTTTGTAAGGTTGGTGGATTTTTTTCCAGGTGTCTCCTGTGCAATAGATATCAGATTTTTACCATCGACCTCTAGTAGTCAGAATCAAGACTGGATGTATTGAAGCTTCATTATATGATCAATGCACAGGTTGCTTAGTGTTTAGAAAGTATTTTATATCCCTAGCTAGAAGTAGTTGTATATACCATATACATTCAGATTCTTATTTGCTTGAAAAAAGTGTGAAATTTACTAAAATAGAAGCAGTGAATTGGCAATACCAGTACTGTTGCAGTAGTATTGGCAGCATTTTCCTCAGTCTTCAATGGCACCCTCTCTCCCCCCACCTCTCGAGCAGATGGACTGCAAGGCAGGGACTGGCAGAGCAAGCAGTATTGGCAGTGCCAGAATTCCCAGAAACTGAGCACCACAAATCTGGTTAGTGCCAAACAGAAAAAAGATATTTAATGAAGCAATGAGAAGGATTGAACTCACACCCATTGGTTACGGATACCTTCTGTTTAATTAGCTTGTCCTTGGGATAGGCTTTCTGTCAGGTACAAGAGTGTGGCAGGTTATTATACTGAAGCTTATTCCCTGGCATCTGTAAGGCTGGCAGGGTCATGGCAGGACTCAGTGACAGGTCAAAGATACCAAAAAGCATAAGATCCTTCCCCTTATAGTTTTTAAGGCACTGAGATCAGCATGCGGTATGTAGGGAGAGATCATGCCTACAGTAAAAAGTTCATAATCTTAAAAAAGCACATGAATAACTGGACACTCGGTACTCTTACCAACACAAGACAGTTGAAATTTTCACTTTCATCTTCTTGCAGTATCTGACTGGTGTAGGAGTTTCTCTTCCAGTGTAGATCAGCACAGCATTTACACCTATATAGTGTCTTCAGCAATGCCAGAACCAGATGCTGCTGAGGCGGTGCTAGAATTATTCTGTAATGAAATACAGGAGTATCTGCTCACTGTTGGGGTCTCTCCAGGGTATCTAATATGGGTTGTTAGCACATTGTCGTTCTCAGTATTCCCCCAGTTCCCATCCTAGGCTCTGCAGGGGCTGAAGGTAAATCAGGCTGTCAGTGTGCAATATTCCACCTCCAGTTTTAACAGGATTTAGACAGACAGACTGATCTCCGTTTCATCCAGCTAAATATGATCCAGATAGTGATGCT